AAAAAAGTAGTTCCTTTTTTAATTGACCAATCAAATTCATGTAAAGCGATATCTCCTAAGGAGATTATGAAATTGATCACAGAAGCGATATCTACTGTAGAATGTATTATTGCGGGATATATTTCGTTGTGAATATCTGATATCGGTAAAACCGATAGGTGCCATATCGGACCATAAATTTTTAAAATAATTTATTTGAGTGAAATCGCTACTATACATGAATACCATCCAAAGTACTTTATACTGCAACACTTCATGACAGTTTCCGCAAGTCATGAATTGTCAATCCTAAATTATTAATTAATGTGTATACATGTGATTACTTTCTAGGAGTGTATGTGTGGTGCTCCTTGCTGGCTCCCTAGCCTGGAGGTCGGGTGTTTGATCCCCGCATTGGCCGAGAAAGTTCATACAGATTTTCCGGCGTGGTTTCCCCTTGTCAGTGATGCAGGACGGAAGGGCTGACAAGGACAGCTGTCTAGTCATTCGGATGGGACGAAAAACCGAGGGCCCGTGTACACATTGGCGTGCACGTTAAAGATCCCTTGACAGTTGGAATTCGATATAAGAGTAGGCATTATATAGTGCCGTTGTCCGGGAAAAAATTTCCACATAGCACACTGTATGGCGTATGCCCGTCTTTATTAGCCCAGTTCGGAGCAGAACAATAGGACATTAAACCCCATTTCATTTCATTTTACTGCCAAAAGTTGAGGGTGGCTCGGTTGATGTCCGGCTGATGATGAGGTGTATATGGTGGCTGATTGGTATCATGGCGTGATGTCGAAGTGTCGCCCTTCATAAGGCGACAACCCGACATCACGACATTATAACCCGACACCACGACGACCCGACATCACGACATCACGACATTTTTAACCCGACACTACGACATTTTCACCCGACACCACGAAATTAAGAATGTCGTAATGTCGCATAAAAATGTCGTATTGTCGCGTAAAAATGTCGTGATATCGGGTTGTCGACTTTATTTATCAATGTTGAAGCGGCCACGAGATCAAGTCAGCCCTCACTACCTCATCTTTCACTAAGAATATTTACCCTTCACTAACTGCGAATCAAGCTGGCCCTCACTACCAAATTACGGGTCTTAATACGAAATTCCCAATATCATGTTACATATCACTGAAAAGCACGTTCACTGCTCTTTTCAAATATATAAATAATTTGCTGGCACATTTATATTTACTTGCCTTGAGAGGTGATCAAAGACGAATGGTACACAAAATGTATTAAATGATGGGGGTAGGGGTATTCAAAGTAAATATACGGGTCTTAATACGAAATTCCAGATATCATGTTATATATCACCGAAAAGCACTTTTATTTCTCTTTTCAAATATATAAATAATTTTCTAGCACATTTATATTTACTTACCTTGAAAAAATATCAAAGTTGGATAATACTGAACTCTATTAAGTAATTAGGTTGGGGGGGGGGGGTATTCAATGTCTAATTACGGGTGTCAGTACGAAATTCCAGATATGCTACATATCAGTAGAAAGCACTTTCACTGTTCCTTTCAAATATGGAGGGGGGGGGGGGGGTGGCCGAATGGTTAGCACGTGCGCGCGCTGTATCATACTCGCGGGGTTTCGATTCCCCGGTTGTACGTGACAAGGAGTAGGGTCGCCTGTCCAATCTCGGGGTTTTTCTCCGGGTCCTCCGGTTTCTTCCCACTGCTAAAGACCCCTACGTGCAAGCATTTTATTGAAATAAAATTGAACCATGTGTTAGTCCCGAAATGATCTAGTTTGTGTCGAGTGGACGTTAAACCCCATTTCACTTTGGAGCTTGACAATTTAGATTCTATTTGAGTAATAGTGGTGAAACTTTTATCAAATTTTGTCAAGGTACTGATGTAGTGAAACTATACACCAAGTTTCATCACTCGATATGCTGGGGGGTTTGTATCAAATAGTGGTCAAGCACTTTTTATTATTGTTTAAAACAATGCCAAGGTTGTTTTTTAACTTGTTATATCGTTGGATATTATCAGATAACGATAATCATGGGCGATTAATTTTATTGAACTTTGCACTTTAGGCTAAAAATAATAATACGTTTATCAGTCACATTCCAACAATCCTAATGATATTTTCAGGACACCGGCATAATTTTTAAAAAAAAGAGAGAGAGAGAGAGAGAGAGATGGGGTTAATCGTCTACTCGAAACAAACTTTGTCATTTCTGGACTAACATATAGTTCAATTTTATTTTCAATAATTCGCTTGCCCGTAGGGGTCTTTAGCAGCGGGAGGAAACCGGGGGACCCGGAGAAAACCCACGAGGATGGACAGGCGACCCTACTCCTTGTCGCGTACAACCGGGGAATCGAAACCACGCCAGTTGACTCAATGACAGACCTTATGATACAGCGCGCACGTGCTAACCATTCGGCCATCCAACCCCCCTTAATTTTTAAAAACCCATTTTCTAATAATTACAGAGGCCCCGCGTACGCGTTGGTATACACGTAAAAGAACCTTGGCAATTCGAATTCGAATTAAGAGTAGACCTTAGCGCCGCTTTCTGGACAACATTTAATCCCTGAAAAGATCAGTGTCTAGTCGTTTGGATGGTAAGAAAAGCCGAGGTCCCGCGTACAAGTTAGTGTGCACGTAAAAGAACCCTTGGCAGTTGGAATTCGAATGGACCTCATTTACCTCACAGCATACTGTATGAAATGAAATGGGGTTTAACGTCCTACTGTTTTGCTCCTAAACTCGGCTAATGAAGAGGGGCATACGCCATACAGTGTGCTATGAGGGAAATTTTGCCCGGGCAGCGGCGCTACGGCCTACTCTTATATCGAATTCCAACTGCCAAGGGATCTTTTAAGTGCACGCCAATTTGTAAACGGGACTTGTGTTTTTCGTCCCATCCGAACGACAAGACAGCTATCCTTGTCAGGCTCTCCGTCCTGCATCACTGACAAGGGGAAACCACGCCGGAAAATCTGGATGAACTTTCTCGGCCAATGCAGGGATCGAACACCCGACCTCCAGGCTAGCGAGCCAGCGTCTTACCCACTTAGCCACGTGATCCCCTCTTCATCAGCCTAGTCGGGGCTGAAAAATATGACGTTAAACCCCATTTCATTTTTAAACTGGGTGTGTGTTTAAAAAGTATTTGCAATCCCCCTCGGGCAGAATGAAACGAGAAATATATCGGCATTTACTAATTACTAGCACGGCGAAAAATCTTTATTTTTTGTAACATTCCTATTAACGCAATAATCATCAATAAATTGTCAGTTTCACAATTAAATACTGCACCAATTAATACAAAACGCACTTTTGCCCTGTAACATACTCCACTAGTCAGCATGAATTTCGAACAAAGAAAACTTATTATTTAATGTTTCGATATAATAGTAATAATATAGGCTATTTTTACAGGGCAATGTCGACACCTCTTTTACTTCATTTAAACTCGTTATAGACCCAGTGTTTGTTTTGGCCTTTCTTTATAACGAATTTAGTTCATTAGGTTAGGTTTTATGCGTTTAGTCAATATATCTCTTTTTAATATTGAAGGAAATTTAAAATCAAATATACTTAATTGGGTGCCAAGAAATAAATGTGTATTAAATGGTAACAACCAATTAAACATACATTATGCAAGAGCTAAATCTGCCTATTGCAGGTCTTTCTTTAGGCCTGAAATGTTATCTAAATTATTAATTAGACATTAATTAATCTATCCAGACCATAATCAAGTCTCAATGGCATCGCTAGCCTGCAATCTTTAGTGGATTATGAGCCGATTTACTGCATAACTTTCCTTCACGATTTAATGATTAAATAGATAATCGACTTTAGTGGATTATGAGCCGATTTACTGCATAACTTTCCTTCACGATTTAATGATTAAATGGATAATCGAGACTATGCTATTATAGTGAGAACTGCCAACTCGTTGTCTAATCTCCCATAATGTATCTTTAAGAGTTTGGGGGGTGGGGGTATTTATAAGCAATATTTTTATTCAGTTATGTATCTGAATAGGGGTTGGGGAACAGCCATGCCCTTGATTTTATGGCGGTATATTAGATTCAAAAGTAATCGTAATTAATCTTAATTTGTAAATATCCCTTTTGTATTATGAATTCAATATTTATCATAGGATATAGATAATTATACAGCACAATTTCTCCATTGGAAAAGTCCTGAATTACCCAGCAATTATAAGAGCCCTGTGGAATTTCTCTGTAGAGATCTTCTATTTCGTAACATTTTCTAAGGTCTCTATTAATATAGGGGCTAAATTCCTTTATTTCATTATTATAAATATATCATTATTATAATCCATACATTATCCATATATATTTTCTGATACTTCAGAACTATAAATTTCAAATAATATTACTTGGTAACTACAGGCATTGTTTAAAATGTACATAGATTTATTTTAAACCCTCTTATATTAAATTACTAACTTTTAAGCTTGTATTATATACATGTATATATTCATTATATACATAATTGTATTATATGATGCGTGTAAACGTCAATAAAGATTTATTTAGATAAAAAAAAAAGTGTCGCGATCTAGCTCTAACTGGCAAGTCACCTCTGGCTTGGAGATAGGCGCGCCTTTTCAACCTCGTGGGTTTACTCCGGGTACAGGAAAGACCCCTGCACTAGCGCTAAGATAATAAAGATAAGACATCTTGTCTGCGATATCACTCTCTGTGAAAGCGGGCGTTAAACTCTGATAGAATAAGACGAAGGACAGCTGATCGCAGTTTGTTTACATCTTCGGGTCCATTCGCTATTCTCCACGCGCTGGACGGGGACATGCGTACAAGCGTTTACCTTTGCTTATCAGGTGACGTCACGGACTGGGTCAATTTGCCGATTGGTTATAGCTTCACAGCGCTGTCTTCGTTCTATAGCCTTTTAAATCAACAAAGGCGATTGCTTGGGAGTTCAGCTGACATCAGCGTGCACTGTTCACAACAAAGGAACAGTGAATATGTTGTGACCTTAATCATTCATATATACTACCGCTATACAGCAAGGGTGTGAGGTTAATTTATTTGATTCAGTCGAACCGGATACGTCATTGCTCATTAACACATTCTGTTCAGCGCGTGGTACTGGCGAGCAGACGACAAAATGGAGAATAACACGCAAACTGTTGGTGATGCAGACTATATTTTGCAACCGGTGTGGGATTTGAGAAAAGGCTATGAAGATTATCTGCGCTCGCCTTTATTTCCCGTCTTCGTGTCGGTGGGGTATTATTTCGGTATCTGTATCCCGTTCATGCTTGTGGACATTTTTTGTAAGAATATGTGGTGGTACAAAAAATACAAAATCCAGCCAGACAAAGATGTAGCAGCGCCACTGTTATGGGATACCCTGACACTGACATTTTGGAATAATATAATGTTCATCATGCCCGCTGCCGTTGCACAGTGGATCTGGACACCTCCAACGGAACTCCCAGAAAGAGCACCACCATTATTTGAATTTTTATGGCATATATTTGCTTGTTTATTGGTTTTTGACTTCCAGTACTACGTTTGGCACCTGACACATCACAAAATCAGGTTTCTATATCGTCATATCCATGGCCTCCACCACCGGTACCACGCCCCATTTGTATGGGTTACACAGTACCTGCATCCCTGGGAGTTGATTACCGTAGGCCTACTCACTACGACTAATACTTGGTTCTTCAACTGCCATTGTCTGACAATCTGGAGTTACATGGTCGTTAGCATTAGCATCAGCGTTGAGGGGCATATCGGATTCGATTTCCCCTGGCTGTTAAACCACTGGATACCTTACGGATTTTTTGGAGGATCTCCAAAGCACGATATGCATCACCAGAAACCAATGACCAACTACCAGCCTTTCTTTAATCATTTCGACAAACTGTTTGGATCATTCTGCCCACCGATGTCAGCAGGGGGAGTAAAATCCAAAGCCTTACAGGATTATGAACGAAGACATCGTGAATCAAAGAAAAGGGGTTAAATTATTTTTATTTATTTTATTTTTTTCCTTTTCTCCAATTTTCTTTTAAAAAATTCTATATTTTTCCCGGTAATATTTCAAATGCTTTTTTTATTATCTTGATCTTGCATTTGTTTTATTTACATTTGTTGTCCGATTCTGAAATCAAAACTAGTCATTATCACTACACCCGTTTTTGCCAGTATTCTCTACCACACCCCGACCCCGCAACAATTTTTTTTATTTTTTTTTCCTGTTAATTTGGTTTAAATTTTTTAGTAACACAAATAGTTAAAATGAATTTTTATAGATCTTATGTAAGTTTGATTTCCATTTATCTGAAATCAAAACTAGTCAATATTTTACGTCACTATTTTTTTTTTTTTTTTTTGTCTTCGACCAAGGGTATAGGTCTAGGCGATTAAACCTGCGGCCAGGATTTACCACTAGGCATAGTTGGCATTTGGTCTACCCGTGGGCCCGATGTAACTAATTGGTCGCGCAGCGTGCCCGAGTATAAACTTGTTTCTCATGTAGAACGAGTGCCCCAAATATGTAAATCCGGCTCCGAATAAACCTTTAATATCTTCAGGTCTTTCAATGCAAGTACGTTTTAAATGATCAGCCAAACTGTCCATCTATTTATATTTAATACTTTATTGTGATCAAATAGTTAGTCAATACATGTATATTTATATTTTTAAACCACTCATACGGATGCGTACGAATGGTAATGCATCTTTATAATGTTTGCATCTCAGCGATGGATTGACCGACCGGTCTCAAATTTTGCACACAATCAAAATTAAACTGGGTATTGGGCAAATTGTTAATGAATAAAATACGAGCGGTACATACGACTAAAAGTTGTATTTACAGTAATCAAGAGTTTAATTCGAATCGCGCTACAGCTCATATTTTCTGCTTTCAATCCTAACGTCATTTTGATAATTGAGCTTGTCAGTAGATAATGTGACTTAGCGTGAATAGAGGGCTATTTTTAAGTCAGAAAATCGAATTTACCGTAAATACCTCGTGATTAGAATAAATTGGTTCAATGACATTTAGTAATTGAACTGAAAATACAAAGGACACAATGCTTTGAAATAAAATTACTTTTTATTACTAAGGTAGTTTAAACTAGATGATCGATAAAAACTTGTCGAAACATCGCTCAATAATTGTATGTCTATTCCATAGAATATGTGTCCTTTGTATTATAATAGTAATTATTTAGTAATCGAACTAGAATTACACAGAATATAATTACTTGGAGAACAATTACTGTTTATATATCTCCCGTCAAAAGGCAAAACCTAGTAACTCACTTTTTTCTTATTTTGAGAAAACAAAGGAAAACGTAATGAATGAATATTAAACCCATCCATTGATTTTACTATTGAGTTACTAGGTTTTGCTGTGGTATACTAGGCAAATGAAGGAAGTTGCTAGGTTGTGTCATGGGTGTAACTGCTTACAAAATCAAAAGATTGGAATATCTAGTACAACAACAGGAAGCACATACCCTAGTAACTACAAATTTGGTCCTAACTCAATTTTGATAAAAAAAAAAAAAGTGAGTTACTAGGGTTTGCCTTTTGACGGGAGATATATGAGGGACGTTTCGACTAGATGTTTCATGATTACGAGTCGAAACGTCACTCAGTAGAAATCATTGGTTGTATCCCACTATGTTCTCTTATTGTAATAGTCATGTTTAATCCTATATGGATTGGCTTGTCTCGAAGTGATTTCTGGCCAGTCTCGCACTCTCTTTGAGTCTATAAATAGCCATCGCACGTGAAATTCTCAACACATCTATCAACTATTACAGCCGTAAAAAATCTATTGTTGACGATTCTGAATAGCAGTAATATTTAGCTTTTTGGTTATTACAGCAGCTTTAGAAATTACGTTCGTTTTATTTTTTAAATTGCTCTACCATTAACTATACCGTTAGGAGCGGTATCTTATGGTTAAGTACAAATAATATCTCTGAAAAACTCGGGTTAGACAGGTACATGATACTAGCAGTAGTTTCATTTAACTTTTATAGGGTTCGTAAAACATTTGTTGAGTTGCCTGTCGTGCGTGTTTCAAAATTCAATTTCTTGTTCCAGCTTTCTGTCATGTTTCTTAAAAAAGTAGTCTTGATTATCCCGGCTTGTCAATCAGACGGAGAATGGTCGATCGATAGACTGGTTAAATGAGACTAATTTCAAAACAAGGGCAGGTAACCTATTTTTTGCTCAAAAGTGCATGGATGTTATGGACGACACTCGAACCATTTTTCAGTCTATTATTTATCGATGGTTAAATGGTCATAGCTTGTTAAGTACAACATGGCCGTTTTTTTAGTGACTATAAATGTGCCAAATAGATTTGAGGATTGATATATATATATATATATATATATATATATATTGTGGTGTAATTGTCTGACTATAAATGTGCCAAACAGATTTAAGGATTGATATATATATATACATATTGTGGTGAAATTGTCGAGCTATTTGGAGATATTTATTTACGGTGGGGCACCCTACTTATGCCATGTTTACACTGTCCACTCTTTTGTTCAGAGTGTTAGAAATCCGATCTGATCTGGGAAAAGGATATGTATGTCTCCTTTGTAGTCAAGTACAGACGACTCGCAACTTCTGTCTTCAATAGGCAGCAAATCAGACCACTTCAAAACCATAATAATTTATTGACAAAAGATTGTGTCTACGATATCACCCTTGGTGGAAGTAGACGTAAAACCTCAGAAACGAACGCACGAACTGACAAAAGATCGACAGTGTAACCTTGGCATTATCTACTTTATTTTTGTGTAAATCTTCTATACAACAAACGTCTCATAGCTTGACTACTTGAAATTGTTTCATAAGTGTCCACTAATGTGTAACTGGGCACACACAAGTAACAAGTCTGTGGAATACAGTTACTGTTTATTGAGCGATGTTTCCACTAGGATTTTCTAGTCATTATCAAACATTTAGTTTAGACGTCGCTTAGTAGTACATGTGTATGACAGCTATTGCTGACAAAGTGAAAATATTGTTGGTAACCCATAAACGACTAACCAAAATGAATTGATTTCTAACTATTGGTGCGATTGATGTCGTTAACACAACCAGTTATCGTAGTCAAGTAATAAGACGCAGGTTTGTGAGAATTACTTGAGTAATTCTTAAATTTAAGAGGGGCGAAAAGATATAGTACTTAAGATATAGGGGGGTTATAAATTTGAGTAATTAAGTTTTATGTGGATAAACGAAAGAATAGGGGATGTTGTAACTATTCTATTGTATTCAAGGCTTTTAAGATGAGAAAATTTAGTAATTCTTACGATGAGTAGAAAAGAAGTTTTATTTCCTCCAGTCCAGGTTGCTTTAAATGTTGCGATATTTTATACGACAATATGTAACTGTTTTTACGCCCACATTGAAATGTGGTCGTATATTGTCGTCGCCCCCGTCCGTCCGCCGGTCCGGCGTCCACAATTGCGTGTTTAAGGTCATGAGACGAAGAAGCCTATTGATTTTCAGCGATTTCCGATATTTACTGCCAGAGTTATGGCCCTTGATCACTTTGAAAAATCTTGTGGAATCTATAGAGGCTAAAGTGAATATCCGATTGACTTTAGATTTATACACAGTGTTTAAGGTCACGAGACGAAGAAACCTCTTGATTTTAAACGATATCCGATAATTATGGCCCTTAATCACTTTGAAATATCCCGTGGGCGCTCTAGAGGCTACTGTGCATAATTTTAAAGCCAAACAATTTCTAATGATTTTCGGATAATTATTTAATGAGTTGTTATACTCATAATCAGAATAGAAAAAAATATGCGACAACTCTTGTTGATTACTCGGACGACTTAGCTGCTGTGTGCGTATGTTTCGTTGCCTGACAACCTGTCTTTGTATATTTCGGCAGATGTAATGAAACCTGATTTAATCAAAACGTATACTATGAAATTTGTAACCGGGAGGTCTTCGTCTTAATTGATAGGTTGTTTTTTTTTTTTAATTTTGTAGATTACAAATTGAATTGAGATATTTATTTTATATTTATTAAACCTTTTTTTAAATATTGTAGATTACAAATTAAATTATTTTATATTTACTAAACCTCTTCTGCCATCTAGTCTGTCAATCACGGTACGGTAAGAACTAATAGTTTAATATTTAAAAACGCACTTGGTTGGATAACTGATTGTTTAATTAATTTTTTTTAAATTTTATTTAATCCATTGCAACTAGTCTTACGCTTATATTGTGATAATATTTAGATGTGTTAAGTAAAATTGTAAATCAGAGGTGCGAACGGTTTAAGAGAGAATCCTTATAACGTCCCAAAACAGTGGTACTCGCAACCATTGCTTTAAGATATGGGACATTCTAGCTCAGACCATTCGAGTTATTATATAAGAAGCACCTATTTAGTCAGGCAAGACTATTCTTTGTCCTCTGTCTGTAAACTGACGATCGGTGCTATAAAACCACAATATTTTGAATGTATTGGTGGTATGTGAGAGTTTAATTAGTCGATAATTTACGTATTTTTAACAGCCTGTTTATTAAGCTGGCTGAGGTGACGTCACTCAAACAAACACGCACCGGTTCCACGAAAGCTCCTGCGTCCTGTGTTTATTTTGATTTAAATTTCTAAATTCCTTCACCGAAAATTGAACTGTAATTGTTTCCATAAGCTGTGTATATATATAAGTAGTGGCAAGTGTCGTACATTAGACAGAGGGTGCGTACCTGTTCTAAAACGGCTGACACTGCTTCACATCTGCGAAATTGACACTTTTACACGCACATGTATACGTAGATTAATTGATCCAAGTTATAACTATTAACTAGGGCAATTTATTCATTTTTATTCGATTTTTCCAAGGAACATAGCCTATATATTATGCAACTTTTACAAGACGGAACAAGAAAGTGCCGCCAATTTGCGTTACCCGTGTTTACTTTGAGAATAATAATACGAAGGTATGTCGGTGATTTGTTTTGATGAGAACGCACCACAAGATACTTAATCCAGATGCAAACTGAACCCGAAACTGTTTGCTTCGCGTAAAACCAACGTAGACGCGACCTAATAACCTCTCACGTACCACACTCATCTGGCACGGTTGTCATAGCAATAAACCTACCTACAATACTTTATGTGCTAGAACACCCATGTCACTTCTCATTTGAGGAATCCATGTAGCGAACAGGTACTTATGTAAGCCTAGTCCCAATTAAAACACGGATCTTATTTCGTTTCGTTTTATAGGACGTCGAAAAAAAACCGAAACGCAAATAATATCTGTATTTTTATCAGATTGGGTTCTTCTTTCACATCGACAAATGAAAAAAAACCTACAACATTTTACCATATAATTTATTTATTCGAGCCTTGTAATGACGTAACGCTTAGTCGTTACTGACGTAAGGTTCCTTATCATAAAGGCAATTTATTCCTTTTTGGTTTGATAAATCATAAAAACATTATATTTATGGAAATTGTTAAGGAAATAAAACATTTTGTAGTCAAGAAATTATTGAAAAAACATTTTATCAAAATGATGATAGTACATCTACCTTATAATGACGTAACGTGAAATTGTTATCGATGTAAGGATTTGGTGTATGTTAAATGATTTATTATTAAAGATGCATTATTTAAGATTTAGACAAAAAGCCGGACGTTCTCGCTATACTAGTTAAAAGAAATAGGTAAAGAAAAATGAATATATTGAAAATTTTATTCAAATTACATTATTCTGGGCGAAGAGTGTTTATAGTTTGAACAAGATCTAGCGTAGATTGTTTGCTACCTATTTTATCGTTACATTTTTAAATCTCGCTGGTTTTCAAAACCATTTAAATCCCGGCCGTCCGATGGTCGAGTATGGGCTTGTCGAGTGAACAAATGTCTAAATAATAATGTATGTAACACTTGAGGCCAAAAGACCTGCAATATGCAGATTTAGCTCTTACATAATGCATCTTTAGGGATTTGAAATGTTTAGTAGAGAATATTTTTGGACCAGGAACATGGCCCCAAGCGCTATGTACTCATCTTGTTTTTCTTGGGGCGACGCTCTTGAATAAAGCCTGCAAGTCCAGCATATGAAGCACAAACGACAAGAGACTTGGTTTTTCGATATGACGTCACAGTTCCAAGATGGCGTCGATGACGACATGCGTTGTTCCTGGTCTATACTACGTTCGTACATTTGTACTTGCTTAATAAATGTTTTGTAAATTATTTCATTTACAATTGCCTTGTAATGACGTAACGCCCAGTCGTTATCGATGTAAGGTTTTTATGTAATTCACATTTAATTAAATTATTAAATATTAAAGTGGTGTTTGTTATATGTACAGGGGTGGTGGTGAGAGGGACAGGGCGTGTCTTGTCAACACAGTGTTTGATCAGTTTGAAACTAAACGATGTGTTTTGGGCCGTGATCCGGTTCCTAAGCGCTGCTTTGAATAAAGCCTGCAGCTCCACCATTTGAAGGACGATCGACATGAAACTTGGCCTGGTTGACCCTGGGACAATGTCGCACCGATGCTTGATAATATATGACGTCATAATTCCATAGTACGATCACGTACTTGATTTCTATTTTCGCGTGTGCAATGTTAGGGAGGAAACTTTTGCAGGAACAGCGACATTTACCGCCTGCTCAAGAGTTCTTTTACGTGCACACAAATGAATACGATGTGACTGAACTTTCCTTGTCTACCCCGTAGGTGCTACCGAGAAGGGAGGGAGGAACTAGAATTAAACACCCATTAAAGTTGACCCGAGAATACGTCCGATCTCAATACTAGGTACATCAATTCCAAAACTTGACCGTATTTTATTCAAAATTTCTTCGTTGAAGCAATGAATAAAATTTACAATTTGATTATTAAGTTCTTGACCTTTGTGTGTGAACGTGTCGGTATTTTGGTTGTTAAACGTAAACCTTGAGATGAGATAAAATGAAAAGAACTGATACAATGTATGTTCATAATCTAATTGGGTGGCCGTCTGGGATCACGTGTCATTAAGATAATAAAGTGGCGAAGGTTCGATCCAGGGCTTTTATGTGACAAGGCGCAGGGTCACCGACCTAACCTCGTTGGCTTCCTCCAAGTACTGTTGTTTTCTCCCACTTCTAAAGACCCATAACCAGGGGCGCCGGACCCAGGTACCAGGTTATGCAAATGGTACCCTGCCCTTTTCTGGGGTATACATGTATACCCACGCCCTAATGATGAAAGTTTTCAACCTTTTTACTAGTCTTTTCATTTGTGAATAATCAGGCTTTTGTCTCTTTCATTATCATGTATTTTAAAGGGTTTTATGTTGGAATTTGGAATGCTAGAGGCGCTCTAAACAGCGTTCTCGGAATTGACAAATTTCAAAATTTTCTAGACGCCGTGGGGAGGGAGGGACCCGGACCCCCCTATCTTTTGGTACCCTGGCCTTCGCGCCGTTCCGGCGCCCCTGTCCATAACTTACTAATGTTTGTTACGTCGACCCCCCCTCTCTCTCTCTCTCTCTCTCTCTCTCTCTCTCTCTCACTCAATTTAGACTCATCCAAACTAGACTTATACATTGTACCAAACTAGACTACACTTATACATTGTATGGGTTACACCAAACTAGGTTCATTCAATGTAGGGGGAAGGGGGACGTTTTTACCTGATATGTATTAGGGTCACCTGTATATTCTTCTGGGTTTTCTCCAGGAGTTCGTTTGGTATTTTTTCATACATCTAAGTCTACTACCTAGTGTTGAATGGACTTTAATCCTCCCGAAATTTGTCACAAAGTGATCTATACCCGAAGTTGACGTTTAAACTCTCTATAACTTCTGCTAAGGCACGATCTTATTAAACATCTAGTTTATTCAATATGTTATTTACAAGCTGTACGTGATCCGTGTATAATTCAACATAACTTCAAAGAGAATGTATTAGTGGCCAGTGCATCATACCTTGGCCTGACAATGACTTCCAAAGTAATATGCAGTGTAATTACAGACATCATAATTTGATAAATAAACAATACCATATATGGTGATCACTCCTGTCCATCTTCCCTAATTGTTAGACGCTATATAAGCAGGAGTTTACTGACAGTAAGTCAGACTTGGAATAGAGCTCTTCCCGATTTATGTCTATTTCATGTTCTCAATAAAGGTCTTATCAATTATGCTGATCTTCTGTTATCTGTAAGATAGTTTTACAAATGACCTAATTTTGAATGGCCGTTAAACGTCAGTTAGAATTAATAAATCGATTGTATTGTCATTATTATATCTGACTTTGATTCTGTCACGTTACATAGTCAACAAAGATAACAGTATATTAGGCTAACAATGAAATTATCTATAGGACCTTGAAAAGAAATTAACCTTAAAAGTTTGGTATATATCTGATGATCATTAAATATGGATAAACGATAAAATACAAAGATGCCCCATTCTATGTCTATCACAGTAGCAATATTAATTGATAAAAACTAACCATGCCTAGTCTTTGCACTGGACTAAAACTGGGTCGTCTACAAACGTATTAAATAAACTAAAACCAAGTACGAACAATCCAAACGATTGGACAAAATTCGAAGTCCTAAGAAACGGTATAGGCAAAATAGTGCAATCAGCAAATGGACTGTTCACCGTGTAACAGGTGTAATACGGGGTTGGGGGGGGCGGGGTTCACGGTAAGGGAGGTAATCGAGACATAAAAAATGAACAAGTACTGACGATTTAAATTGCTAGAGTTTCTAAATTAATGTGCATATTCATCATGATTATGGTCGGATAAAAAACATTCCGACTTGAATAGACGTAAAATATTTTGTTTGAAGTCGGCGTTGAGATCACGTGAACGTCTTGACTAATAAAATTGTCTGTATTGGTATAGAAGGACTTTATATTGTGATGCATTATGGTATGACTTTGGAGTCGACTAAACCCGACAACAGACATTTGTTTAGAACCGGGCCTATGTATGATGTGTGTATTATTTAGATTTCAACTTGCAATGTTATTGCTGCTGCGGCTCGGATTGAAATACACTAATCAGTCCTATAAATGTAATCAGTACAAGTGTGAGAGTGGAATGATGTTTGGGGTGATACATCACAGATATAGGTTTAATAGAAGTACGAAATAGAAACACCAACAAGCAAACGTTGTTGTCCACGAATCCTATCTGACAAACGTAAATAAGTTGATAACTCGCGATAATATGTTTAAACCTTGCATTCGGGTACTGTAAAGTATCGAGCAATTAATTCACTGGTAACTGACTCGCGAGTAAATAAATGAAATGAAAGAGTTCCCTTACGTGCACGCCAAAGTGTAAACTGGACCATTTCTCTGGGATCCCTGCAGAACGTCTAGAGGCCATTTCTTGCCCGGAACACCGACACGCACCATTGACAATAAGGGGGAGGAGGGGGAGGGGAGCAGTCTGAAAAATCCCAAGGAACTTTCTCGGCCAACACCTGGATCTAACCCGGAACCTCGTGGTTAGTAAGCGGGCGCCGCATTCACTGAGCCACAGTGAGTAACACTCGTAACAGACGTGTATAAAGCGTTATATCACCTTATTGATAGTAAAAGATATCAATAACGTCACTATTAACGATATCTCCTATCAACTTATCTCAGTGCATAGTCAACATGATTTGCATTTGTTTTCGCCCAGTTGGTTTTATGGACTAAACCACCCACACAATCACAGCTTACACAATAAACCGCGTTATAGTTTTTACCGTAGATCACAAAACGTGTATTATAGATCATGTAACGTCATGGACCTATTACAGGCTGCATGGTAACGTGTTTACTGTTAATCATACCAAGTGCATTTAAGATCATAACGTGTGCATTGAAGAACATAGCGCATACATAGAAGATCATAACGCGTGCATTTAAGATCATAACGCATACATTGAAGACCATAACTCATGCATTGAAGATCATAACACGTACAATGGAAATCATAACGCTTGAATTGCATATCATAACGTGTGAAACGCGTGAATTGGAGATCATAACGTGTGAATTGCAAATCATAACATGTCTTCTGTATATCATAACGCATGAATTGTAGATTATAACACGTGAATTGCAGATCATAACGTGTATTCTGTTATCTATGCGTGTCAATGGTTGGATCCCAAGAGTGTACGTGGGGCCATCTTGACAAACCCTTTGGGTTTACTGCGACTTTTTTTTACTGCTGAAGAACCCTACATGTCAGCGAATTGTTGAATAAATTGTACCTTAGGTTATGTCAACAAATCAGTGTTATCAGACGAGACACAGTGAACTAGTGAACGTATTATATAACGATCGGACCGTATGTACTTACATTTTAAAAAATTACCTGTAAGATATCATGTGTTGTCGAGTTTGTCACTTTGAGATAAGTGTTTATGGTGGGGTTTGATGACGGGGCGTGTTCAGGAATATGAGCAGCGGGGAGTAAAAGGTGGAGACAACGTCAAGTTGTCCATGAGGTCCGCGGTGGGTTACCCGAAAATGTTATAAAATTAGACGCTCTGGGTCAATATTTCTGGTCATTATTTTTATATCGTCGGTGACATTCTAAAACCTCGTAAATCAGATCAACAAAATTTTACAGGAAGAACAAAAAACTTTATACTTTTCAGATACTTGTCGGATTTCCGTAACATTTTGTTTATGTGAATTTGAAAATAAATCCTATTAGATGTTATGTCAAATATAAGCTGACACCTGTTTGTTTTTAAGATTATGGACTTACGAGGTTTTCACCCCCAAACCTTTTTTTTCTTACGACATACGAGGTTTCTGAACGTTTTCGTATAAGAACTGTGTGATTTACGAGCCTTTGTTTTCGCGTTGCTAGAGATAAATTGGGCATAAAAATGAAGAGAAATCACTATTTAAGTATTGTATTATACCATTTCCTAGTCGGGTATCTACAGTAGGTAGGAACGATAAGATTAAGAATCTGGGGGAGAGGTTAAGTCTCCACAAAAGCATTGACCTAGGATGATGAAAATTTAGTTCTTGATATTTCCAAGTTTTATTAAAAATACATGCAATACATTAGATTTATATACATAGCTTGTTTCACTGTTTTTTGGTGTTGGTGGCGCTGATGGTCTTCTTTCGGTGGGTTGGTAAGTCTAGACGCTCAGTGGCAGGGTATATTTTAAGGTTTTATTGGCGGAGCACGGGCACGAAGGGTATTGTTTTGGTGATGATATACATCTAGTCCGACCATACACCGTGGTCCGCATTTTTATTGCAGCAACTGTCCGCACTAATATTATCTTGACTGGACCACTTACTGGTTATAAAGC